GGGATCCTTGGTAGGTACAGACCAAAAGGATCCCATTTTGGCTGGTAGGTGAATTCACCACCCATTGTAGGCTTGATTGAGTGGGTCAAAACCAAGCAGATGGTATTTGAAGGGAGCTGATCTCAGGGATACATACCCACCATTTGCTGGTCAAAACCGTTTTGGGATCCCACTTTGGTTGGTAGGTGAATTCACCACCCATTTGAGTGGCTCAAAATGAAACGATTGGAGGGGCAAAAACCGCAGGTCTTGGTACCCATATTTCCACATACCAGGGCAACCCATTTTGGTACCGGTGTCTTGAGCCACAGCCAAAGGAAAATGTGGACAGAGCCTTCCGTTGTGATAGCCGTGCACATCCTTGAGAAGCATTGGCTTTGTGATTCATTGTGCTGGGTGCTTGCAAAAACCCGTACTTGTAAGTACCGGTGCCAAAATGGGTTGTTCATTGTGATTCATTATGCTTGGCCGGATTTTTTGCTGGTTTGCTTTGTGCTCGTTGCCTTTTGGCTGTCCATGTCACGCTTTGCTGCCTATATCCTTTTTGCGTTTCTGCTTTGAACTGCAGGCGCCGCAGAAAACTGCACGGGGATTTGATGGCATGGTTGAATATGTTCCCTTGTTGACAGTAATTGCATGCATAGGTCCTTTTTTGGTGGTTTTGGTCGAAAAATAGATGGGTTTCGATTCCTGCTTTACCGGGTGGTTTCATCACCCTACCAGGGAAATCCATTTATTTCCCCTAAAAGGACACCCATGACAATGATTGCATGATTTTGGCAGGGCTTCCCTTTTGGAATGCACATTTTCTTGGATCGGGCCGGATTTTGGGGCTAGACGCTAAAACAGACCATGGATTTTTTATTTTCTGGCGTTCGCACTGGTCACTTTTTCCCCTAAACAGTTTACGGTTGGGGTTCTTACTCTTGTAAAAAAGAAGGGGCCGAAGGCTGCCAGATCGCAGGGCCGCATTGTGTTCTTATAATCTGTTTGGGGGTGTTCGGGTTCTTACTCTTCTAAAAAATAATTATGGTATTTTTTTTTCGGGGTCTACGCTGGTAGTTTTTTTTGGCGAAAGGGCGGGCATGACATGCCGGTTGCGCCGGAGAGGTCGAGTCGTGTCCCTTGGGCTGCTGCGCGAGCGCCGCAAGCCGCAAGCGGCTGGGCTGACACTGAAGGGAAACCTGTCTCTCACATGGACAGGCAGCGTGCCCAAGTCAAAGTTGCCCCTTTGATTTGCTTAAGAGTATATTTTTGATTTTCCCCTGTGCTGCTTTCAATGGGAATCTATCATAATCTATCACTACTGGAAATATGTCTTTTTTTTTCCAGGGGTCTTAACCAAATGGAAGTGCCCCTTTGATTTTGGATCCGAGAAGGTTTGAGCATTTCTGGCGCGCGGCCATGTGTCACCTCGCCAAGTGACTTAGGACCAGCATGCCAGCGCAGGCCATCCGCGCCTCGAAGAAGCTTGGCAGCTGATTCCCTCCACTCCGAGTGTCGGAGTTGATGAGTTTGACGCACCAGAGCTTCTTGTTGAGATTGAGAAGTGAGTGTCCATTTGATTTAGTATAGCTGGAGCTTCCTTTTGATTTTCTCTTCTGCTTCTTTTAGTTTTGTTGTTTCATGGTTTGAAGGGCGGGGACGGGTGCTTGTCTTTATTCCAGGTGCTTTTATTATTTTGTTAAGGCCACCCGCTAGTCTTTATCGCACAACCATGTATGCTGGTAGTTTCGCCCGTTTCGGCGTTGGCTGCCGGTTTCGATTTTGCGACTTGTTTATCCGGGACTGGTTGTGGTAAAGCACTGGCAATTTGTCGAGCTGTAGTAGGGCTGACAACTCGGAGCAAAAACTGACTGCCAACTGCCGAGCAAGTGAGAGCACATCACATGTTGCACTGGTTATTTTCTGTTTGTTTTGCATCAGAAAGGTGCCGAGTGTTCACTTGGTAGCTGTTTGAGATGTTTTTTTTGGCTTCAGAGCAAAGCTAAGGTTTTCATGGCGAATTGCCTTGGTTCCGAGGAGTGAGGCAGTCTTATGCGTGGTGGGTCGGTGTTTCCTTGCTGCTCACTAGGGAATGTGGCTGAAGGGCCACCAGTGGGATGCTTTTTTTTTTTCTTTTCCGGGGTCGTTCCATTTCTCATTGGAAATGGAACGACCCTGAAGAAACCAGCATCCCTGACACCGATCTCCAGTTTCGGACAACTTCCACTCCACTCGAATGGGGCCATTTGGTCCATCTCGTATGCTTCAGGAAGGCACGCGCCAAAATGCCAGCAGTGGACATGCCCGGGCCCAAGGGTATTGTCCCCGCGCAAGAAATGGGGATTGATATCAATCCCCTAAAGGGCCCCCAAATGACCGTTTCTCATTTGGCCCCCTTTAACGGGAAATCTCTGGCTTTCTTGGTGTTCGTTCCCCAATGGCCCAAGGGTCGTCCCGTGATTTGGGGATCTTTTGATCAATCCCCGAATCAGGGCTGAGGGCGAGGAACGGCTCAGTCCAGAAGTTGAAGTGTGTCCAAATGGCATGGAGTATTTGTTGGATTTTGCTTGGATGTTATGACTTTAACTGTTTGCCAACTAATGGGTTTTCCATTAAACCACTAAAAGTTAAACTTCTTGCAGGGGAGCGGAAAGCAATCGAGGAATAAGAGGCCACAAATCAGACGATCTAAGCAACAGGTTGAAGATGTCATACGGGACATTGTTGTCATTGCAGGCCGCCATGATGGTCGAGTGATGCGAAGATTGCACAATTCAGTTTGTGATTCTTGCGCGTTGCACAAAAAGCTAGCTTGCTAGCTGGGGCCCCTCTTGCTTTAGCATATAATGAGGCCACTGATTCCCGCAATGCTGTGATGTATCACTTTTGCGTGCTAACTGTCGTCCAAGAAATTTGCCTTCTGAAGATGACTTTCTATATGCTTCGCTCTTCTCTCCGCTCTTCTTCCCGCTCTTTCTTCTTCAGCCCGCTCTTTGCTCCGCCCTGTTCTCCGCCTTCTTCTTTTTTTTGTGCCACGCTTTCCAAAACTTATGCTCTCTGCACTCTGCCGTTCGGGTGCTTTGGCCATGGCTCTTGGGGTCCCCGGTTGGCTCATTAGGCCCATGGCCAAAGCCCGCTGCCAGGCAGCCGCAGCTGGCCATGACGAGGGGCGTGCTTCCTGCTGGTCGGCTCTGAGCCTGGCGATTTGGGCTGTGGATGAACGAACTCCGTTCGCACCACCGTTCAGAAACTCCGACATGTTGATTCTCCTGTAAATACCAACAAACAATGGTGTCTCATGGGTTCTTAGGTGGTGCAGGATTTCGTCCATCCACAGTATGAAGCACATTTGGCCGGCACCTGGCTATATGGAAGCAAGGACAAGCCCCAGCTGTCTAGTTGTGAGCACACGTTGTGATCCTGACGTGAAGCCTTTGCGGGCGAAGTCCTCGAGCAGAATTCCTTTAAACAATTGGTACCTCCGGAAGGGGGACTCAAGGCTTATGATTTCCGAGGAGGTAGATGTCCCTCATTTTATCCGGACTCGCGATTTGTCCGTGTGCAACTCCTAATGAGTTTGTGCCAATGCCACTGGCACACAAATAAGTTGACCGCAAACATGACATAGATGTGTCATCTGTTTGCGAGCAAATTGGGCTGGGGCCGCCCTAAGAGCACCAGATAGACGTGCTCTTAGTGGCTGGATGGAGAGTGGCTTGGGAGACGTTCCTGCAGCAACTGGGCCACTGCAAGATATTGCGGAGTGTTTTTTTTTTTTTTTTGCAACCCGCTTCTTTCTGTACCAAGACAAGTTGGGCAACAGGCTTCTGGAAGGGAGCTGTCTCCATGGTTGCCGTTCCAGACCAATGAACAGGCGGCGTTTGTAAAGCCCTATTGCGAAGGAAAACATGCTCTAGCGGAGCTCCGACCATAGGGTCGCCCGCGTGCGGAATATCATTCGGTGGGTACTGGCATGTTTTCTCATTGGATGTGATTTCTATCATGATTTTGGTGACTAGGTTCAAATCCCGGCAGCCACCATATGGGTATGGGTCAAAATTAAACCACCAGGGAGCCGCAGGTTTTGGTCCATGTTTCCATTTACCAGCATTCTGTTCTGGGCACCCATTTTTCACCCACACCCATATTTTGTCTCAATTTACCAACAAGGCGCGTGATGGAATAAGGTGCGAGCACCCAGAGAGCTGAGATTGCTCGAGCAACGCTTTCTGGCTCCGGTTGTCCCACCTGGAACGTCTTCTGCCAAGCCATCAGACATAATCATAAGTCAATGCAAGCTGCGCAGGTCGCTAAATTCACTTGGTTTGGAGAATGGCAGTGTGCTATACGGTGTCACTACTTCGGTGGCCCTGCGCAGCATGCCGCTTTCAGCAGTCCTGAACTCCTTGCAGCAGTCATCCACGCGGGCGAGGGTGCGCTGCCATTTCTAGACACTAGTTGTTTGTATGGCGAAATGCCGACTGGCTGAAGCCAGGGTAAATACCCTGGGCAAAAAAGCAAAGCGCCTGGGCAATGAGTGGTGGTGGTTTCAAGCCTGCGCTGCATGGCAGCGAGGCTTGCAGTAGAACGTTCACATTTGATGTGTGTTCGGTATGCATACCGGTGAATTCATTCGAGCTGATTGCTAAGCTCCCTCTAAATTCGAGAGAGAGATTCCAAGCATTTGTGGTATGCACGCCCGGCCTCCAAAGATTGTCGGGCAACAAGGCTCGTGCCAATTCTCCGGGCACTGTTTCCACTACATTCAAAGGACTTCCCATGAAGCCTGAAACAAGAGGCAATTTCCAAGCTTGCCACTCCGATTCCCACGACTTGCAATTTTCATACTTGCACACCTGTTTTGCTTTTGGCAAGCTTCGTTCCAGATTTCAGAACACCGAGGGCAGCGATTCTCCGGCGCTCAATCAGCTTTTTTTATTCATTTTCCCCGCAGGTTTAGTGGAGGCAGCGATTCAGCCCCAGGAAATGGTACCGACCTTTTTATTTTTTCGGGGTGAGAGAAGGGTGAGAGAGTGGACGGCGGGCAGTGGTGAGGAAGTTGAGGGGGCAACATTGCATGGTTGAGAGGCTGGACGTCTTGAAAAATGTTGCATGGCATGCTAATTACTTTGCGGCAGCAGAGGCGCGCGTGTTGCATGGGCTTGCATGTGCAGGCAGAGTAATTAGCAGGGTGGACGGCTTTGTTAAATGGCATGTTGCTTTGTGTTTGCACGGGCTTGCAATTGATTTGAGGGGAGTTGATGGTTTGCGGTTCGAGTGGGAGAGTGGATGTTTGCTGTTTTTTTTGTTGCCGCGCGCTTTCAGCACGGGCCTGAGTTTTGTGCGACAGGAGCCCGGGCGTTTTGGAAGGGGAGAAGCGTGCACAGTCGCGGAGTTGAGAGTTTTCCTCAAAAGCGTGCGAGAGTTTGACAGTCCTTTTTGGTTGTTTTGGTAGACAAATAGGTGGCGATTCCTGTTGTACCTGGTGGTGCAAGATCATCTACCAGGGAAATCCATCTATTTTCCCTAAAAGGTCACCTATGTTGACATGTTCAACCCTTCGTTGCAAGGCCCGGCTGCTGCCGCCTGCTCTTCGGCGCGCGCTGCGGAAGGCCCGGCAGTGCGCATGTTGCCCGGCCACAACCATGACACCGCGCTTTTTGCCGGGGCACAGCTATCAACCTGCATAAGTATGGTACAAGCACAGCCCCCTCTCTACCACACCGCCTCATGTCGCCCATGCCTCAAACAGGCTGGTGATGGAAGAGTTTGACGCAACCGGCCGCTGCCACGGGAAGCCTGACTCCAAGCTGCAAGCATCCAATGCCCGCCCTTGCATTTTCTGCGAATGCGCGGAAACCGCCCGCTGAGGTCGATGTCGAGCTGGGAGCACAGTGCCTCCGTGGGCCCCGAGGCCTTGCGCAAGCAAGAGAGACGAAGCGAGCGCAGCTGGTGCGACATGGTCTGTGCTTCCAAGAATTTCCCAGAAGCCCCTACGGCTCGAACGCAAAGAGGGTCTCCGGAATTCGAGGAAATGGGCCCGCGCACGCGCACGGCTCGTAGCCTCATCCTTTTGATTGCCTTGGCGCAGCCATGGTGTTGGCTGCCTCCGTCACTCCCAGGAATCGCTCGCGCTGGCGAAGACCTGAAGCACTTGCTCCCAGTGATGGGCGCACGTTTGGGAGCCGGGCCGGGTGCGGCAGGGGTGAACCCCAAGTTTGCCGTTTGGGGTGCTGCCGTTCTTTTTGCCTTGGCCCGTTTTGCGATCAGGCGCAAGAAGCTCCCTCAGGGCAAGCGTCCTGTGGCCACTCATAGTCACCCTAGTCCAGCGAAGTTGCGCAAGGTCTCAGGGAAAAGTTCATCGTCGGGAGAAACCGGCAATACCCGCACTGCTGAAGCCTTGTTGGAGGATGCCTTCGAGATCTTGGGAAACCGGCCGGACTTCTCGAAGATGGCGTTGCAGGTTGTTTTCGTTGGCGGATTCAGCGCCGGCAAGTCCACTATGATCAACGCGCTATTGCAGAAGAGGCAATGCGAGACAGCTGGTGGACCCAAGACACAGAAGGCGAGCAGTCTCCAAAAGCCCCGGCTGACAATCTTGGCAGTGTTCCTACTACATATATACACATATAATGTGTATGTGTATAAATATAAATATATATATATATATATGTTATACATATTAGGAACAACCAACACCCCTTAGGGCTGTTTTTGGTAAGGGATGAACACGAAAGCGGCGCTGTGGTCGCCGAAGACCACGGAAGGGTTGGCGGATGTTTTTCGTGGAAGGGTACGTATCATCATGGGATGAAGCCCTACTCGTGTACTACACGTGTACTAAAAATTTGTGAGGCTTGAGCTGGGGCGGCTTGTGTGCTATGCTAGTACCTAGTAGCTGCGATGTTTACCATGGACTATGAAAGTGTACTTTTGCTTTTGTACTGCCGAACGATGCCTGCGTAATTTCAGGCTGCGGCCGTTTTACTATAACCTGTTTGTGATGAGTAGCACCGACTAAAACAAATTGACGTCACGTGTCGGGTCATCTCACAAACTGTTTTTGCGGGGTTCGCATCAAACAATTTTTTGCGGGGTTCGCCTTGTGGGGGACGCAACAGACGACGTCGGGCTTGGGGACTGAGAAGAGCTGTCACTTGCAAAGTCATAGAACAGCCGTAGCCTTCAGGGTGCGTTTTTGCTCCCGCCGTGACGTTGGTCTTCAAGGTCTGCGCTTGCCTTGCAGTTGAAAGATCCGTTCATTCGCAGCTGGGTCACCCGGTTTGCTCTGATCAGCGTGCCCCTACGGAAGCCTGACGGCGAAACATGGGAGGAGACCGCGCTCCAGCTCAGGCAAGCGCGCAGATACGACTTACGCTGGCTGGAGCGTTTTCTTTTCTGGCTGCCCTGCCATCATGCTAGCAAAACCCCAGCGCAAAGTGCCGTTTTTAATTGACAGCCTGGCAAAGACGCTTGCAACAACGCCTGTGAGGTGCGCAAGATAGATTTTGATCTCTTTGCGATGCTCGGTTGGCCCCGGACGGTTCACAACGGTGGTCTGGATCTGCGCATCTACTGCGCATCACTGCGGTCGCTTTGCGCTTGTCGCGCTTGCGCTGAGCGTCTGAGTTGCGGAGGCCGCTTGGAGCAAGTCGGCATCATGCCAGTCCCACAGCACCGTTCAGTCTGAACCGTTGTGAACCGTTTCCTTTTCAACAGTCAAGTCCGCGCGGAACCGTTGTCAACCGTTCCATTGTCGTCTACGGCGCAACCGCAAATAGTTCCGGAACCGTTCAACCGTTCCCTCAAGGAAACCGTTGCGTTTTGCGACCCGTTGTGAACCGTTCCGAGCATCAAGAATACCCGTAGATAAAACCATTGTCGACCCTTCCCTGTTTGCCACAAGAGGTACGCTTGCCGCTTGTAGGCAAAGGCGCAGCGAGACGTGTAATCTTCACACACGTGACAAGGCTCCACATGCGGCTGTTGGAAGAAGCCTATTGAGGAGAAGCGTGTTGACAGCACGTCTTGAGCGCTTCGTGGGGCTGCCGGATGCTTCGCAGAGCGCAAGCGGGCAGCAAACATGTTCTTTGGCGGAGTTGACGGGCTTGGGAACCGTCCCCAGCATGGGCTCCTGTCTCTTTGCCCGTCTGCCACTTGCAGCTTGAAACGCGATGCCAAAACTGCGACATGGCCTACGACAGCATCAGAATTGTTTTGGATTAGACCGCCCCGTAAAAGGCCTGCCTGGTAAACTGGGTGTTGTGGTTTATGCTGAAAGTGGTCCGCTAGCACGTTTGCATCACGGATGCAATGGCTCAGTGAGCTATGTACATCTGAGGTGTAACATGAAAGGCCCTGAGCCAAAATGGCAATGTGTTGCATGGAGATCAATGGGTCCAGAAAACAAACACACACACACACACACCCTCAAACAAAACAAATGCCCCAGCATAGGCCCCAAATAGCGAAACATAAGCGCATGATTGCACACCAGCAAACAGGCCCCCCCCCCCCAAGAGCACACGGCTGTCAATCTCGCAAAAAAAAACTGCGCCCGCACTAGCGTCCCAAAACAGCACCATCCCCAAATTGCATGACCCCTAGCACCCTGCAGTCAATCCCGCCAGCACCTCAAACAATACCCCAAACAGCACCCCAAAGCAGCACCAGCACCAGCACCCAAACTGCATGCGCTGGCACCCTGCCATCAATCTTGCAAACATGCACCCGTAAAGTCACCAGCGCCACAAATAGCTCCCCAAACAGCACTCCCGAACCATGAACAGCGCGAAACAACAAATTGTGTGGTTCGAATTTTGTTTTTCGCGCTGTCGGACCTCCGCCGGAAACGCAGCTGTCGCCTTGCGCGGGGGAAGCGTAGCTTGTCGCTTGTTGCCGCTTTCCTGCCTCTTCTTTCTCCGGTGTCCTTCTGCTCTCGTTCCATTCCTCTTCTCTTTCTTGCTAGCTCTTGCCTTTGGCTTGCCTTACTTTGTTTTTATGGACACCGACATATGTTTAGACATGTTCCAAAAAGTTTGCTTTACCTGCGTTGCGGAAGATTCGCGGAAGGGCAAGGCGGAAGGCCGTTTTTTAGAAGCAAGGACTATTCGGCAACCCTCGCATCTGTGTGTTAATGAGGATGATCGGAGACCAAACATTTCATGACCGCACTGTCCACACCAACACGGCGCTTAGCCCTGCCCAGGTGGAGAGTTACACTGGGCCCGATGGCGTCACCTATGTGGACACGCCCGGCCTGGGAGCCCCGGAGTACCCAGAGCACAGGGCCGCAACATGTAAGAAGGTGAGGGAGGCGGACGTGGTCGTGTTGGCTGTCAATGCAACCCATCTCATGAATGACAACGACATCAGCCTGCTCAAAGAGATGCAGATCCCCCGGGAAAACTTGGTAGTGGCTGTGAACTTCTGGCAAGTCCACGCGTCGCACCCGGAAGCTCAAAAGGAGTGCCGCAGCCGCATCCAAGAGATGCTGAAAAATACGTTGCAGGAGACGGAGCCTGTGGTCAAGGTGGTGTACATGGACGCATATGCAGCAGAGCGACATTTTGTGGATGGCGCAGAAGACCTCGATACAGACACTGCTGCTGCCTTTGCCGACCTATGGACAAGGACCGCCCCGGTGTACCAGAAGCTTCAATGGCTCCGTAAGAAGATTGCAGATCTCCGCGAACCGGAGTCAGAACTGAAGTCAGAAATGAGTGAAGTGGAGGACGAAATTCTTGGCGGAGCAGATGGCGGGGTGTGTGGGGCAGTGTGCGGTGCAGCTGTGGGAGCACTATTCGGCCCGGCAGGTGCTGGTGTTTTTTCCACTATGGGCACCATGGTGGGTGTGTTCATTCAGCGTGCTGTTGCGACAATCAAGAAGGACAACCGGCTCAGAGACTTGAGCGAAGGACTCATGAAACTCCAGGCCAAAATTGCGGAGTTGAAGAAGATAGCGGATGAGGTTGACAGATTGCTCAACAGCAGCAATGGCAGTGAATAGATTCCGCAGAAGCTGCCTGCAGATTTTTTTTTGCGCAGGTCTAGTACACCCACGCCGCAGACCGGCAGAGTCCACAAGTGAAAGGATCCTTTGGCGTGAGGCGAGCGGCCTGGCCACCTGGCGGCGGAGTGAGAACACCCCGGGCGGCGGCTGCGCAAAGATTCAGAGGCTCATAGACACAAAAAAGTGTCCGGCTACCAGCCATCCCTCCTTCATTCCGGCCAGCGCAGGTACCAGTCGTATTTGGTACCGAATTACAATCTGCAGAGCTTTTTTCGCCTTCGAAGTGTGTACTACAACCAGTTGCTGTACTAACCATCTTGAGCCTCTCCTAGGAAAGGTACTTTTGCTGGTTTACTGGTCCTGTAAAACCGAGACTAAAATTACACCAGCAGAGACCCCAAACAGTTGAGGGCTGACGGGCAAGCACAAACATTCCAACAGCTTGTGGATTTCTGCGCTTCAACACGGATGAATCAAAGTGATGCAGTCGCGAACCTGGCACGCGTTGCGTTGCTGCACGTGTGTTGCTGGCGTGCTTCGCGCATCAGCGCCGCACGAGAACTGAGGTTGGGCAAGCGCGTGCGATGGCGGGCGAGCGCGCGTTAACTCGAGTATGGCCGCGCAAGCGCACGGTCACATGGGCAGTTCAGACGCACATGTCCAATTCAGACACACATGTGTACACGTGGAACACAAATAGGTATACGACTGAAACAGTACACGCGGCACGCGCAGATGTGCACCCGTGAACATACACATACACACTCACAGGCGGCGCTGCAGCACACGCATAAATGTGTTGAGCTGGAAAACAAACACCTACGACACGCTAATGCGTTCACGTGGAACACACATGTGTGTTCACTTGGAACACAATCAAACGCGTGTCCAATTCAGACACACGTGTGTGTACACTTGGAACACACATGTGTTCACCTGGAACACAAACACGTGCAATTACAGCACATGTGTGTACAAGTGGGACACACATACGTATACCACTGGAACACAAATATGTGTCCACCTGGAACACCGCGTGTGCAATTAAAGCACACATGTGTGCACACGTGAGCAAACATAAATGCTCACCTAAAGCACACACACACATGTGCGCACCTCGAAAACAATCATTCGTTTCTGGAGCACATGCAAGTGTACACCTGGAGAGCAAACAACCTAGCACATGCCAATTTGTTGACGTGGAACACACATCTGTTCACCTGGAACACAAACACGTCTCCCATCGGAAAACACATGTGCGCACTCGTGGAACACACATATGTGTACATGTGAGTGTGCACACGTAAACGCTGGCATATATGTGCACCCGGAACACACACACACGAGTGTTCATCTGAGAACAAACACGTGTTCTCCTGGAACACAAACACGTGTCTAATTGGAACACAGAAGTGTGTACACGTGAACACACGTCTGTGTACACGTGGACCACACATATGTGCACACGTGAACACACACATATATGTGCGCCCGGAACACACACACACGTGCGTTCATCTGAAAACAAACATGTATTCACCTGAAACACAAACACGTGTCCAATTGGAACACATGTGCGCACATGTGGAACACACATATGTGTACATGTGAGTGTGCACACGTAAACACTCGCATATATGTGCACCCGGAACACACACCCGTGTGCTCATCTGATAACCATGTGTTCTCCTGGAAAGCAAACACGTGTCCAATTGGAACACACATGTGTGCACACGTGAACACACATATGTGTACACGTGGAACACACATGTGTGTGCGCGTGAACACACACATATATGTGCACCCGGAACACACACACACACACACCCGAGCGCTCATCTGAAAACAAACATGTGTTCGCCTGGAGCACAAACACGTGTCCAATTGGAACACACATCTGTGTACATGTGAACATACATATGTGACACACATACGTGTACACGTGGGAGACACAAATGCGCACACGTGAGAACACACATACGCACACGTGGAACGCACACATGTGTACTGCACACGTAAAGACTCGCATATATGTGCGCCCGGAACACACACACGAGTGTTCATCTGAGAACAAACACGTGTTCTCCTGGAACACACACACACGTGTCTAATTGGAACACAGAAGTGTGTACACGTGAACACACGTCTGTGTACACGTTGACCACACATATGTGCACACGTGAACACACACACATATATGTGCACCCGGAACACACACACACGTGCGTTCATCTGAAAACAAACGTGTATTCACCTGAAACACAAACACGTGTCCAATTGGAACACATGTGCGCACATGTGGAACACATATGTGCACATGTGAGTGTGCGCACGTAAACACTCGCATATATGTGCACCCGGAACACACACCCGTGTGCTCATCTGACCATGTTGAGGTTGTCAGTAGGTGGACACTCCAACACGTTCGCTTCCCATGCTGAGGTGCAGGAATGGATTGCCGCCCTGAATTGGACAGCAAGACCCTTAAGAAACTGCGACCTGGTGTATGGTTGTTGGGTGCCAGCGCCGACCCCCCGATTAGTGGGCCACTTGCATTCAATGCCACTCCTGTGTTACTTCGAACACCGTGTTGGCTGGAGCTTGGAAGAATTCTTCGGCATCCTCCTCCTCTCAGCCGGGGGGGTTCGACATTCTTCAGGTTTCTGACCCTTGGGCACGAGCTAGTGGGCCCCGCGTGACCCCTGCTGTTCCTACCGATGCCAGTAGCAAATTGGCGCATGATCGCATCGACAAGCTCGAGCAGGAGCTCACAGGGAGGGGTTACCACCGTCAACTCTCGGCTTGACCAGCAGGCCAAGGACATTGGTTGGCCTCAAAATCATTTGAATCCACGCTCCAGGCCGCATTATCCAAGCAGAACAGTGACCTCATGACGGCCATGTCGAGCTTGAAGAGGGCCCTCTGACTCTTCCAAGAGGCCTGTCTCCTGGGGCTGACATGATTGATGATTCCACATAGCCCCTGTGCCCGTCCGGCCCGGGGGGGATTGTGGGGGTTTCTCGTGCCACGCTCTTGGGGCACCGCTGGCTGTCTCGCTGGGCCGGCTTGTGGGTTGCACCATCAGGATCATTGCACTGTCGCACTTTCCGTGTGAAGTTTGGGGTGTGTCGCAGATCATCCCTTCTTGCCACCGTTTTGGCACTGGTGTTCGAACCGGTGAGGCGCTGCACCCTGGGCCGCCTTCAGTATCCGTTTTCACGGCCAATGTGACCCGATTGTCGGGGCGGGGATGTGATCTTCTTGACCAGTGTGGAGGGCCGGTTGTTTGGGCTCTCACCGAAACCAGTTCCTCGGAATTCGAACAGAGTTCAATGGGCAAGTTCTTTCGATCCGTGAAGCTCAGGTGCCTCTTCGGGGCTCCATGTGGGCACCGGGCCGGTATACACAATCGATCAGATTTGCTTCTTTACGGGGGCGTTGCGCTTGTCTCTAATTTGCCGACCAACGTGCAGAATCTCGGCGTCATTCTTCAATCTGGGACACCATGAAATCCTTGTCCTCAATGTGTACCTGCCGCCTCGGGCAGGAGCTGATTCTGAGGGTTATTGGGCCAGCCTCCGTGACATTCTGCTTGATCAAGCGTTTGACCTCTCCGCTTGGGGCGGCCCCTCGCTGCTTGTGGGGGATTTCAATTGCGAATTTTTTGCACAGGTGCAGCAGTTGCTCTACTCAGGATGGTCCTCCGCTGACCAGCTGCATGTGCTGAAGGGTGGTTCTGATGTCGGATCTACCTATCTGGATAAAGTCCGTCATGAGTTTGTGGTGATGTGCCCTATCATGTCCAGGTTTTTTGACAATTCGTGACTTTCGGTTCCCTATTCGGAAATGCAACGGGCTGTACATCTTCTTCAAATTGTGGATTGCAGCAAGATCCTCGACATCACCAAGGAAGAAATGAAGCTATTGGTCAGCAAACGCAGGCATCCAGTGGGAGACATCGTTTACAGGTGCTTCTCTCTGGCATTCAACTGCAAGTACACTTTCGCAGGGCCGGCTAAACCTTGGCAGACATGGATATGTGGTCAACGTGAGCGCTATTATTGCGGCCACAGACCCGGGCAAATGTGACGGACCTCTGCTCGATTGGTGCATCTGGAAGGGACATTGGCTTGCGGACGAGTGCAACAAGAAGTATGCCCGAGCACGAGACGCCCAACGCAACTTGGACGAGGAATTCCGTCGACGTATCACCAGGATGGCCATTGTGGATCGACCCATAGTTGCGTTTTGCGGCATGGTGCGGGCCAGACCCCGTCCATCGCCAGCAAGATATTGATTTCACTACGATGGAATGAATTACGATATGACGTGATTCGTTTGTCCAAGGACCATGTTTATGTATGTATTTACATATTACGACGACTATGGCGTTCCGGATATTCATGAATGGGCGCTATTACCGCATGGATGATTTCATTTCCCTATATTTTCATGGTGTCTGGGATGGCTAATTTTGCATACATATTTCTCGCCATTTGCTTTGCCGGTGATATACGGATGGCTTACAATCATGCGCTGCTATGGATTTCTTCACAACGCATTTCTATGGATGACAGCTGCGCGATGCGCAAATGCGGCAGCTGGGACCTCCGGTGGCTGCGTTGTGATACGGGGCATAATGCCTCATGCCTCTGTGTAGAGTAATGTGCTGCGATCTGCGGATGTGCGTTTTGATTCAATTGAACCCGGCTAAGTTTCACAATGAATAAAAGGCGATGCAGTAGTGAGAAGAATGTTCGACACAGTTTCGTAATCGGAGCCGTGGCCGTTGGAACTTGTTGTGATGTTTGGACCGCATGATGAACAGTGCGACCCAAATGGGGGATGTTAAAACCCTCCTGGCCCCGTGCCTAGATTGGGAAGCCGTTCTGAGGTCCATGTTCTTGTTGGTTGAAACGTTCCTTTGGGATGCCACATTTGGCCTTGCTCTCTTGACAGAAACGATGACAAGCTCGGCAGGGTGTCCCTGGCACCCAAAAGCACGCAAAAGCACCCTTGGCTCAGTGGATAAGCCGGACTCTGCGATTTGCCGGTTCTGGGCTTGAATCCCGGCGATGACAAAACGATGCACGCCGAAAAACCGTGCGAAACCGGCTGTCACAGAAACGATGACATCTGTCACAGAAACGAATGTGCAGAAACCGGGGGAGCTTTTG